TTCCTTCCTTCCTTCCTTCCTCCCTCCCTCCCTCCCTCCCTCCCTTCCTTCCTTCCTTCCTAAAAAGAAAGTCCCCAAATTGGAGGTCTGGTTTGCAAAGAATATCCAAAAGCAAATAGGGTGCCTGTTCCCCATTTAATTGATGCAATTAATTCACGCAGTGTATGCTAACCTCGGCTTTTGGTTAGCGTTATCCGGGCGCAACAGACAGCCCAGTTTATTGCATTCTATGAGCATTTCATGCTAGCTTTCTCTCTGGGCTGAAAAAAGCAGCTGAGTCTTGCCAATCATTGATTTCTCGGTCTCAAAATCAGGGCAGAGGCCTCAGAGGCAGGTGACTCCCCCTGCTCTGAACCATCTTATTTAAGAATAATTTAAGAATAATAAATCAGCTGCCTGAGTCAGCGCAGGGCTGATCAAGTTGCTGTTTTGTACATGAACGTAGCAAATGAATTGGCCCCAACATTGCACTCCTGGTTTATAAAGCTTGCTGTACTGGGGAACAAACAGCCATTGGAATTGCGATAGACCGGCTTGGAGTTACCGCTTAGATAAAACAGTTGAAATCTCCCCAAACTGAGCTCCAGGTCCGCGTGGCGGTTTGGCAGAGAGACAGGAGTGGTGTTCGTCGGGGAGGGTTCTATCAATCCCGGTGATAACCTTAGGTGTTCCTTGTGGTCTCCCATCCCACAGGCCCCGCCCTGCTTCTTCTTTTGGGCTCCTCCCCCCCTCCCAATTCCTGCTGCCTCTTGGCATTTTCTACCCAGCCTTGTCATTCTTACCCCCTCTGAAGGATTTTCGTTGAATTTGTTGGATTTTAATTAATTAAAACCACTCGGGGGTGCGGTATTAAAACCCGTCGAAACGACAATTAACAACAACAAAAAAAACGCCGTGTTGTATTCTCCAGTTCTCTCTTTCTAAGCAGTGTTTGACGAAGAAATATATAAAGCATCTAGGCAAAAGGGGAATTAATGTCGATTAGATACAGGGGCACAGAATTTGGTCCCTCCAGTAGAAAAGTGAAGGCCGTGACTTGCTTTCCACCTGCAGCGAAAGGCAGAGGAGCAGAGTTGGGTGGTGAACGTTGGCAACCTGCCACCCTGTGACTTGGAAAGTGGCCGTGATAGGTTGCTCTTTTCCCCATAACCGGAGGTCGTTTCCCGTCGAAATGGGTGTCTTCTCCCAGGTGGAGACAGAACGTTTTCCTAAAATTTAAATTTTTGAGAACCGCTCAGTGCTGATGGATGAATTCATGGCTGGAAGAACCAAGCCAAGGGAGACCTTGGCACCTTGGGGGAATTCCAAGGGGCGTATGAATAATATATCTAAAACTCAACGTACTGTATCATTGATCATCATTTGTTTACTTACGCCTATGAATTTTGGCTCTTCTGTCAAGAGGTCAAAGGACCGTACAAGGTGGGTCTGCCTTCATTTCCTCCCCGTAACAACAACCCTTTCAGGTAGACTGGGCCAAGGAGAACGGCTGGAAACTTGGTAGGTCGGGGGAGATTCGAAACGCGCTCTCCCTGTCCTGCTTCTGCGTCTTAACCTCATATGACGATGAGTGGGGAATTTCGTCAATATGCAGATTTTCTAGGCGCCGTCTAAGGCTTTTGGGCATGGCCCCCCATGTGCCAATAACCCCTGGAACCACCACAGCTGGTTTATGCCATAATCTTTCAACTTCAGCATTCAGATCTTGGTACTTCTGGTCTTTTCCAATTCTTTGTCTTCTAGTCTCCGGTCCCCTGGTAGGGCCACCTCGACGATCCACACTTCCTTCTTTGCAACCCCAGTGAAATCCGGTGCGTTCTCTGCCGAGGCTTTATCGGTTTGTATGCAGAAATCCCACGGTATTTTAACCTGCTCGTTTCTGACTGCTTTTTCAACTCTTCAGAAGAGCAACCTCTGGTGGAAAACGGCCGTGATAGGTTTGCGGTGTTCCCCACCCATTTTTTTCATTGCTGGGAGATGGTTATTTTTACCGACGTCGAGGACCATCCAGTCCTGAGGAGACGCTGGGCGGTGTAGAATAACTCCAAAAACCAGACAGATTTTGGGTCCTTCCAGCCTTGCACACCTGCTCCTCTTTCTTCTCTGCAAAGGAGATCTGGCCAGTAGGGTGGCGAACGAGAGGTCCAAGGGCAGAGGCAATGGCACACCTGTTGCATGAGAGGGGAGAAAGAAGGGTGTGTGTGCGTGCATCTATCTTGTATAGCAAGCCCGGAAAACCCAGCGGTTTGCTCACACCCGAGCGCCCTTCTTTCTCTGCGCTGAGCTTCCAAGTCAAATGACGCAGCACAAAAGGAAAAAGGAAGGGGAGAGGAGGAAAAAAAAAAAAAGATTCCAGCACTGTCCTAGAAGAGCGTGAGTAAATCTTAGAACCATCCAGCGGAGCTGACTTGTATTTCTTTGTCACCAAGGGGCCGCAGGCAGATGTTTCCTTGATATGCAGTCTGTGGTGTGCCGTTAAATCCATTTTTCTGAG